TGTATGTATGTATGTATGTACCTGTAATGCCAAAGTATCTACGTGTTTGCAGCTCGTCCTGGAAAGGGTTCAAGCCCACTATGATGAAGTAGCTGTCTTGAAATAGGAACTTGGTAAACATAGCTGGGTTCGTGTTTTGTACACTTAGAATCGCTGACCGAGGGTACTTTTCCATTGATCGCTGCAGGCTGGCAGGCAGGTACGTAGGTAGGTATTCATGATGTATGTATGGAGGGATGCACGCATGGGTAGGTAGGTAGGTAGGTAGGTAGGTAGGTAGGTAGGTAGGTAGGTAGGGTGGGTTAGGTAGGTTAGGTAGGTTAGGTAGGTTAGGTAGGTGAGATAGGTTAGGTAGGTGAGATAGGTTGGGTAGGTTAGGTCCTGTCGGCTAGGTAGTTCAGGCAGGTAGGTAGGCAGGCAGGCAGGTAGGTAGGTAGGAGGTCGGTAGGCAGGCAGGCAAATAACACAAGCAGGTAGGTAGGGGTAGGGGGTAGGTAGGTAGGTAGGTAGGTAGGTAGGTAGGTAGGTAGGTAGGTAGGTAGGCAGGCATGTGGGCCTTTTTGGGAAGGGAGGAAGGGAGCACTACTTTCTTAAAGATCCTTTGCTCAATGATGCTTGCATGGCCAACATCAGTTCACCCTCGTGACGCCTGAAGTCAGCACCAGAATGCTGGTTGGCGGTGTGCTCGCAGGCACAAGCTGGGATCAGAAAGCCTGGCTGGCGATAAGACCGAGTTCCACTGCAGACAGGATGCACAAGGCCTGAAGTTTGACACATCCATTGCACCATCTGGTATTTGCGCATGAGACCTGCAAGAGCTCTTGTTTACGTGTTCTGGTTGGGGACATTCCAGGATTTGGTGAATGCAGGTTTGCGCAAGGGCAGTCACTGATATTCCAGCCGACTGACGAAATAGTGCCATGACGCTGATCCGAGGCAGCCAACACGGAAGCCACGGCAAAAGAAAGTCCGAGCCCTGCAGAATAGACCGCAGGAAGCACGTCCGCATGGGATGCGTTCGCAGGTCCAAGCAGCTGTCAGGATCTTTGCTAGTGAGTTGTTCACAACCGCATCCGCGGCAGAATTCAGAGCCTGGCAAGGTCGGTCAAGGAGGAGATTCTTCTTCGTCCGCTCGGCGAGGTGAGGCACACAGAGGAACAGTGCCTAATGAGCCTCGCCCGAGTCTCTGCAGGTACATTCGCACTGCATGCCAGCACTATGTGACACCAGCGACAGGTGATGCCACTCTTCACAAAGCCGCACAGCAGTCTGTGCCTCAGGTGATGATGGTAGGTTCTACACGGCATATATTGTGCTGCAGGCATAACTTTCTACTCGAACATGGATGACTTGGCACAAGATCGAGATCGAGGTCATCAGTGAAGACTGCGGCATGCTGTACCCCGCAAGTGAATAAGTCTCGAACGTTCGAGGCACGTTCCGAACGATTAGCTATTGACCGGGTTTCGCCTTGCAGTCCAATGGTGATCCTGTGTGAGTTCTGCAGTGGCTAGCGTCTGGCAACGATGGGAACAAATTGCGCATTACCTGGCAAGTTGTTGTAGGCGTCACGAGTGCTGTGCCGGTATTTGCGGTGTGTCAAGACCCCAGATGGTTGGGGAGACCCTTCAACTTCGCTGTCGAGCCAAGTCCATCCGACGACCGACGTTTCCGTGCTGTGAGCGGTCAAGGTCTCGCATCTGCAGCGTGTGCTACACCCGAGGTGGGCTTCTGTGCAACATACACGCTGCGCATCTTTTCTGAAGGCTTCTTGAAAGCCGTGAAGTTGCAGGCCGAAGCAGACTGGAAGCAGCTGGAGGAGACCTTGTTGCCGCTCCTGGAGCTCCTTGGCGGATCGGGTTCTGGTCCCTCTTGCATCTCTCTTTGTTTGTCCTGTCGGTGACCTCCCCCTCCGAGGGCAAGCATCTTCCAGCTGATGCCCTCAGCAAGCCTCCAAGTCCCGTTTCCAACAGCTCGGAGCAGCTCGGAGAATAGCTTGGAGTCTGAGACTGGCGAAGGCCAGATCACAGAAGCCGCTCTGCATCGCGGACTTCGCGGCCGCTGCAACCTCTGCCGCGGGAAGCTGAGGGGCGCACTCGCTGCAAGCGCTCTGCTCTCCTCTGCTCTGCCGGTGCAAGCACTCTGTGGTCTGCTGTGAGGCCAGCGAGGCAACCGGGAGCGCACCGTGGAGGAGACTGGGAGCTGCCTCTTTCAGGCCTTGCTCAGAAAATGAACGTCTCCGTCTCCGATGTCCTCTGAAACAGCGCCAGGCGCAGCGACTTCTGGCTGGCAGCTCACTACTACACGCGGTCATGAACCGAGGTTTTTTTCACACAGTTTTCAAAGTGCTCTGTGCTTGGTGAGCATCAGATCTGCAGGTGGATGGTGGACGTGGGCTCCGATCCGGAACAGGACGCCCCGAACCGTGCTTCCTTCTCTTGGCAGCTGGAAAACCCCCCAGGCCGTGGCTCTGTCCAACCGAGCTGCGTGCTTTGCCAAGGCGGGAGGCAGCAGAAGTGCAGGGGAGCCGAGAAGCGCTGCTGTGTTGCATTTCCAAGAGCCTTAGGTCGGCGATTTTCTGGGATCTCTGGAAGACGCCCGAGCTGCCAAGGCGACGTGCGTATACATGCGTGAGCATCTCTCGCGTCCACCGTCGGTCCAACAAGAGTCCACTGTCCACTACTCGTAGGAGCTTCGACCAGACTGGGCGAGGAAGCTGATGCGTTGCTTGTGCCTCGTGAGCAGACTCAGAGCATTTGGGCCTTTCTTCAGGACTTGGGCAAGAGTCGGCTTCGCGGCCCAAAACCTCGGACAGGACAATCTCTGTTGCTCTCGACCTATCTTTCTGTTGGAGCTCCCAGTGTTGATGCACTGTGTCAGTGCAGCGATGCGGATACAACCTCGCGCAAAGAGATGCAACGAGTACCCGGGCTGGAGGACTACTTGGAAGAGGCGTTTCAAGCCTACCGGCAAGCAGTCGAGCCGGATCCTTGATACTGATGACTCGACAACAGCTGTTGCCAATGCGTTGATTGATGGTGGCTTTGCAGGCTTGACCCTTCTCGGGATAACTTGCAGGGGTTGGCCCAAGTCGCGTGCTTACTTTCATGTTTCTTCCCAGTGACTTTCGCTTGGGGGACGCTGACAGGTCGCGCTGGAACTCTTCTCAGGCTGGCGCGTGCCTTCTCGGCAATCTTCATGCTTTGTGCTGGAGCCAGGCAGACAAGCTGAGGACTTCCACATCCTGCCTTCAAGCAAGCCATCGCTATGATCAAAGTGCTCGGCCAGGAGTATGCTCAGGGCAACGCATCCTGGGCCTCCGCAAGCTTCGGCTACGAACCCAGCCTTCAAAGGCGATCTCCATGGCGCAAGCAGGGAGCGAGCTGTTGTGAAGGTCAGGCGGTCGCTTGCTACACAGTAGCACTGGCCACGCATCCTGTGACTCGGAGCAAGCATTTCGGTTGTTGAGCTTTGTGCAGCTACAGCATTCTCAAAGCAGAGCTCTGCATCATGAGATGCAAAACGATGAAGTTTTGCCAGCCAGCAACGAGTAGTCGGGTTTCCGCATGGCGATCCCTCAAAGACCGACGGCCCTGAGGCCAAGCTGCCCGTTGCAGAGATGGAGGCAGGACAGACACATATCACAAGTTGCAATTTCGCGGTGACTTGCAGTTTGACTTGCGGTGCTGCAGGCTTTTGCAAGAAAGGAAGAGGAACACAGCTTGCAATGCAAGTCCGGTGCATGACGTTGCGCTACATTGCAACCTTGTCTCTTCTTGTCCTTACGTATCTTGCCCGCGTGCCGACACGAAGGAGCTGGTGGATGCAGAAAGCCGTATCAATGCTGAAGAAAACTTCCGGGAAGCGACAAAGAAAGTCCAGCAGGCCCCCCCTTGCAGGGGCAAATGGGCACTCTTCGTTCAGCGACTGTCAAGATGGCAGGCCACATCCTCCGAGGACATTTTCAACTTAGCTGTGCCTTGCCTCAGCTGGACTGCCTTCCGCCTGCCTGTCTGTGCGCTGCATTTTATGTCTGTGATGCGGGTCTTTCGCTGGGTGATTGGCGATTGGGTTGCTGTCGGCGTGCCCTAAATCGATTTTGTGCTAAGCTTTGCACGGGGTTCGCGGTGCTTCTCTCAGGCGCTGTATGCCAACAGAGCAGCAGCGCCGCCGTCTAAGCGACGAAGACTTCTCGACGAACACACCCTGACCTGATTTCTTGGAATTCGTAATCCTGGGGCCAATGGCGAGGCTTTGTCACCTAAAATGCTGGGATGCTGCCCGGAGCTTGTTCTGAGCTGCAAGTGAAGAGATTTGATGCTGCCAGCGCTGTTTCGACGTGGCACCATTGCTAGGCCGTGCAAGATGCACAGATGGCCGCCCAGTTGCAGCGCGAGTGGCCCAAGGACGGGCAAGTCTCGGATTTCAAGGTTTCATCGTCTGACCTTGTTTTTCAGCCCCAGATGGCCGATGAGCGAAACATCCGTTCAAGAGCTTTCGAGCATGTTCACGACGAGCCTACGTCATTGTCACCGGTGGCTTTCCTGACTTCCCCCTAGCAGGGATCCCGAACCACGCAGAAAACTTCGTCGGTAGACCGATTGCCCAAAATTCAAGCTACAGAGGAATCATTATTTGGGCTTGTAGAACTCGAAACACACCCACAAGGCAAGCAACGCAGGACGCAAGGAAAGCTAGACTCCAGACCTTAAAAGCGTGAAATCCAAAACCATCTAACACCCCCACACGGTCCCCTAACCCTAACATCCTACAAGGCCCGTGTCGACATGCGTGGCTTCGAGAGTTTTCGGAGTTAGCATTCAAGTGGAGACTGTTGGTTTTGGCCGGACACCGGGCTCGTGTCATTTGCCCACCAAAACCCGAGCAGACCGTGCAAGTCCAAGCCCCCCAAAACGAAGTTTCAGGCAGTTCCAGGCCAACCGGCAGTAGAACCTGGTTTTTTTTCATGACGCCTTCCAAATTGATTTTGCGGTGTGGCCACGCCGTCAACCAGCTGGAAGCACTGCTGTTTTGGGCATGAGACACGCCTAGGGCCTAGCTGTAGCAAAACTTATGCGTACCTGCAGGCCAGATGCCGCCTTGGTGTTTCCCTTCTGGGAGCTGGCCGGCCGGAGGACGCGACGAAAAAAGGAAAAGCCTTGTGCTCCGTGGGGGTCCGTGATGGTCCGTGCAGGAGGCATATGTCCAGTTTGCGTGGGCATTGGCCCGCAAGCTCAGCCATTGAGCCAGGTCCTAGTCTGGGCCCGTGGTGTTTTCGTTCGCTTGCTCAGGCCTTCGACAGTCACAGTGCTGTGGCTCGACAGGGTTTGGAGGCACGGGTCACCCAGCGTTCGCATTGCCATGTCCTGGTGCTGAAGCCATCTCAGATCTTCCAGGCTTGCCTGACGGCGATCCCTAGATGGAGGCACCGGAGGGTTTGGCGCTCGGTTGTTCGCGTTTGTGATCAGGTGATCGGGCCACAGACTGTCGGTCCCGGCCGAGCCCGGTAGTCCCCCACCAATCCTCTCATGTTTGGACTCGGTGCAAGAGCCTCGACCTAGGCGGCACATTCCCGTCGCCTTGAAAAAGACCGCGTTCGTCCGAGAGACTCGACGAAGGAGCTTGGAGCGCTGAGCCAGCGCTTCGCCTTGATCCCCAGCCCCAGCCCCTGGCCCTTGCAGCAGGTCTGGGTGGTCTCGGACTTGTTCTTCGACGCGAAGAGCAATGCGGAGTCGGGATCCGAACATCACCTGCTTCAAAAACTAGACCCTGTCGGTAATACCAGGTGGTGCAATGCGCTGGACGACGCGAAGTTTCAGGTCTGCCACACCTCACCCTGGATCTAGTCCCTTTGTCGGTTGCTTTCTTTGGCGAAGGATGATGTTCTGATCGTTGCTGGCAACGTCGCTGGAGAGCCCAGAGTTTCGCCGGGAGCCTGCCCAGCTCACTCGGCCCGAGGCCGACACGCTCCACAGCATCATCCGGGGACTCAAGGCACCTAACACGGCCGTGCAGCGCTCTGCAGGCTGCAAACTGCCCTGTGGCGACTTTCAGGTGCTCAAGTCCAAGTTCCATCGACTCTTCTACGTACCGGGAAACCGGGATCTTGCACTCAATGCAAGCGAGGCTGCGGAAGACTTTGGGATAATCAAGCTCGAAAGGAAGTTGTCAGCTACTTGTAGTTGAGAGTCGTGCCGAAGCGAGACATTCAAACACCAGGTGCGAACGGCTCGGTTCCCTGATTCCATTGCAAAGCTTCTGGGACTACTGGCGGCCTGTGACCAAATTGGGGTCCCGAACTCAGGTCTCATGCCTTTTCGCTTCCACTGCATCGTGAGCTGAAAGCACTCATTTCACCGTTGGTTTTGGAGGTGGATATGTTTCCAGCGGCAATCTCCCAGGAGAGGGTCTTCATCGGCCTGCCGATCTGCCTCCGATACCGAATCCAGTCGAATTTTTTCAGCAGGATGTGTACGTGGTCCCGCTGCACTCATGGTACAATGCTGAGTTCGACAAGAAAAGTCGCAGCAAGCTCAGATAGCCAGGCTTGTTCAGGCGGGCGCACGCTATGCAACGGCGTTCAGGTCCAGATCCTAATCACGGCTTCGATGCCCAATGTGTTCGCACCTCGAAGGACATTGGGGCTGTGGCCGTTGTCCGAATCTCATCGGCCTAGGTTTGGCCGCTCGACCCCAACCAGCTGTGGAAGCCTTCAGCTCATTTGCCAAATCAACGTAAGCCTGTGTCCACTGTTCCTTTGCATGACTTTGCATGCTGGCAGATGGATGCTGAAGCTGAACGAGGTTCTTGACTGCCTGCTTCCTTTGTCAGACCTCGCACCATCGGAGAGACTGTGCCAGGTATTTCTAAAGCCTCTGCAGGGCACCGCCCATTGCCCAGAGACCTCAACTGCTGGGATGTGAGCCAAACCATGCAAGCTGAGGTCCTGACCTGCTCCCACTTCGTACCCCTGACAACGCTGCCCTTCGACGGGCTAGGCAACACTGCATGTGGTCACCCTGATCTCAGCGATGAATTACCGCCGAGTCTCAGACCCTGACGTAGCTCTACCAATAGCAGCGTTGACTAAGCTTTGCCACGACCACGGAATGCCACCAGGCAAGCAGGCACAAGCCATGGGGTGTGAAGAGATTGAGGCTGCCGCTTGGTTTGCTTCCGCCTCCAGCAACCTCACTACTCTTGGGGTTTGCAGGACCAGCTACGTCGAGTGCGAAGTGCTGGTCACGTCGCTAGCCAGCAATGTGCATGGCTGCTGCGTGTAAGTGCAGTGTGGCAGCACAGCACTGAGGCTTATGGCCATGCCTCCATCCGAACGTGTCAGGTTCAGACCCGGGCTGGGATTGAACTGCTCTGCGGATCTCTGCGATCAGGTCCACGGTGGCGTGACCTTCGTCAACCACGCCCTGGGCCTTTTGGAGGATAGTGAGGTCCAAAGCCGAGCCAAGTAAGGGAGACAGGCTTCAATGCTTCTTTAAAAAGCTCTGCTCTTTTTAGGCGGTGCCTTCACCACGGCTCCTCTTCGATGGTCACGCGGTGGTGACCTGAGTGCGGCGGGCAAGCTCTGAAGCTTCTGCCCTTGGCTCAAGATGCGAGCTTATCTTCGCAGACGGGACGTCTGGGTACTGGCAGTATTGCCGGGACAAACGGCCAAAGTGCTGCCGATCCCGCCGCAAGCGGAGATTCATTATTGTTTGTGGGTTTCTGGTACAGGCTTGCCACAAAGTGGCGGCTTTAGCTTCGGCAACAAAGGGTGGCATCGGCTCTTGCATTGCACACGAGCGATACACTTGCCGGCCTCTCTAGGCCTGTGCTACTCGTAGATACCGCAGTAAAGCTCCGAGCTCGACTTGTGCAGACTGGTGCCATTTGCCTCGACGTGCTCGGCAAGGTCGGGGAGACTTCAGCAAGACGAGCATTGTAGCAGCTGGGAGGGGCATCAAGCAGCTTTACTCAATCTTATCTACATCTGCCGCAGGAGTGGAGCCCTGCACTGACAATTCGAACAGCGCTGTTATCAATTCAGGCACTGTTTTTGCAAGTGGTCTTTGCAGTTCCTTCGTGCATCTTAGCATGGCCTTTCCTCCGTTGTGTGCATTATCTTCATTGCATGTGCTTTGGCGGTTGTGCGCTTGAAGTGATCACGCCCAGAGCGTCTGCGGGTGCCTCCAGGCACTACTGTCTTCTCCGGAACCAGATGACCCTCAAGACGCAGAGGCCTGGGGCCTGGTTACTCAGCACATACATGATTCAATACTACTTAACATGAAATTCACTGCTACTTAGCGGGTGCGTCAGCCACAGGTTGCGGAGATGTACAAGCACAACCGAGAACTTTTTGTTCAGGCGGGAAGCCTTGCAGCCTGCTCCCTGCACCATAGCCGCTGCCGTTTGGACAGACTGCCAAATACTGGACGGAGACTTTCGCATGCGAGCAGAAGTCTTCCAATGATGAAAAGGCCGCTTGTAAGTAAGTTTCCTCTGCACACGAACCTTGTGCGGTGCTCAAGACCTACAGGTGCAGAAGATCGTCGACATGGGATTTACACAGGAGCAGGCCAAGCGGAGCCCTCAGAAGGCACGAGTGCATGACAGACCCAAACCTGGCTTCAGCAAGGTCGGCTCTTGAGAAGCATGGCTATGACGAGACCACTGCTCTCACCTTAGTTTGGCGCCGTGCAAAGACTTGTTGACGTCCAGATTTGACATGCGCTGACAGTGCGTGTGCGCAAGCCAAGGCGTTGAACTCCCTCCTGGAAAGCATGTAGCGCTTCATGTAGTTCTGAGAGGTGAGCACAAGTGATGAATGTAAGACAACGTAAGCATTGTGACCGAATCCTTTCCCAGCTTTGCTGTTGCTCCAGCTCTGTCGCCGGCGAATTTTTCTCGGACTCACTGGCTGCACTTGAGGAGTATCCGATTCGATCTTTGTCAGTCTGTCAGTCTGTGCTCGCAGAGCATCAGAAATTGTAGGTGCTGGCTTTGCGAGCACGTGATGGTGTCACCGAAAGGGCTCTGGTTTGGCAGTAGGATGGCACGTGTCAGCGACCCGCGTTGGAAACCAGGAAAGACATTGCCAGAAACCAGTGCTCGAATCGCTCAGTCGAGCTCCAGCTCGGGCATGGCTCTTGAATATCTCTTTAGACATTGGAAATCTGTCGAAGGTATTTAAGACTGCTCGGACCGCTGTGGCTTCGAAAGCAGCAGCTTGGATCACACTGAAAGCCGAGACGTGCCCGCTCCTATCCCTAGGCTAAACAAACACTGCGTGCCAGCAGGTACAAAATGTGCTGTGCAGCCAAAGCATCTGGACGTAGTGACTAGTGGTTGGGCTGCGGTTTCATTTTGTGCGGGGCTCCTTTGCTGTAAGCCGCTGTCGGTCCTTCTATGCTGCATCGTGAAGCTCGGGCAAGAAGTTGAGGTAGTCGGCTCGGTGTGAAACAGGACTCTCCAAGATCTGGCAAGTAACATGCTGCTTTGGAGACGAGACATGATGCAGCAGAGTGGCTTAGCAGAGCAGTCTGTGTGAAGCAGGGTCAGGCATGGGACCGCGACGCCCGCTGCAGCTTGTTTGCCGTCCGACAATTTCCAACATAGCTCTGATCGATCACGTCACTTCACCTCGAACTGCAGCAACAGCCTCTAGCGAATTCCTCAGCTAGCCCCATGCAGCATTGCAATACAACTGTCAACGCGAAGATACGGGAGTGTGCTAGACCTGGGCTGTGCTGCAAAGGCGCCGCTCTGGCTAGGACCCAGGATTCTTGCCGTTGAGCCGCGATCCTCGGCCAGGCCTCAAAGTCGTTACCAACATGGCCGAGAGCCCAGGCGAACCAAACACCGCCAAATAGCCACGCAGCTACCCTCGCCAGGTAGTGACCCTGGCAGAGCGAAAAGCCGCCCAGCGGGCAGAGACTCTGCAGGCACTCCACAGCCTATCCGCGAAACAGAGAGATGCTCAAAAATGCCAGGGCTTGGCTGTGGGCCTCCTCGCAGACATCAAGGCAGCCTGTGGAACTGCGCACGAGCTTGGGCGCCGGCAGCTGCCCAAAGCTTAGTCCAGCCTTTGCACTTGAACGCATTTTAGGCAAGCTCAGATGTCAGGACTTGGGGCACCGTCGTGCCCGGAGTATTGGCCGGAAGCGATGAGGACATGGATGACGTTCTGGCCATGCTGGCCGCTGCCTTACTATCTAACTAGTCTCTGGCCTGGCTCCGTGGGGGAGAGCGGCCGCACAAGTGCATACGAATGTTCGAGATGATTCAATGAAACCTGTGTTTGGAACGGGGTCCTTGCCTGTCGCGCTGAAATTGGTGACTTGGGTTTGTATTCCTGTTTCAGGCAGTCTTTGGGTGACTCGCCTGTGGGAGGGTCTACAAACATTTTGTCGAAGTCGCGTTGCTGAGTCGCGTCGCGCGTCCACCGGCGAAAGTCGCTTGCAAGATGGCTGGCCTTCACCGTCTTCGTCATGTGACTAGATATCGTGTCGGAATGACGATCGAAGTGCAGGGGACGAAATTGCAATGGTATGGCCGGAACTAGAGTTGGCATATTGGTGTCTCGTGCAGTGTGCAGAAGCGACTGAGCCATGAGCGGAGGAGCTGTCGCACCAAACCAGAAGAATTGCTGGCCGAACGCCGGCTTTCGGTTTTCTGTTTAGTTTGGGTTGATAGTCTCTCATCAATGTCGTGTTCCGCAGACGGTCTCCCGGCCAGCCCAAGGGTGCGGTCTTTAATGGCGAAAGTCTTTGTCTTGTCCTTCAAAATGTCACAGGGCACGGCAAAGGAGAGTACTTTGCCACAGAGCAGTGAACAAAGATCACCGAAATTGTAAGACTTTTTCGGGTTTAACATCAGGGAACGTCCTTCTCCACCCTCAAAGCCAGCTCGAGTATGTCGAGAAGAACCAGGCCAAATCAAGAACTTGTGGCGTGTGTCAATGTGGAAGTGTGGAGAACTTGAACAGTCGGAACCAAAGAGTCAAACTGCGGCCAAGGGCGCATCAACTTTTAAGCTTGAGTGTCTGAAGCTCGAAGTGTACGCTCCCGTCTGTTATGCTTTGGAGGCCAGCGCCACATGCACAGAACACTGCATGCAGCAGACCTCTTGGCGAGTTGTGGGCACAATGCCAGGCAAGTCTCATGGCAGAGGACAGAAAGAGCAGCCTGGGCTTCCAAAAGATCGAGTGGTGCCTGCGCCCCCTCTCACACGTGCAGTCTTCATCCCCTCCGCCCTCGGTCTCTGCTCTGCGCTCCCCTAAGTTGCAGAAGCTGGCGCAGGTGCAAAGCACAGGCGCCCACTCAGTGGGTGTGGGCCCTGAGTTCTACAAAGCAGTTTGATGCTGGAGACTGCACAAGAGGAGTGTGGCAACATTGCGATGCTTCCGTCCCGAAGGTTGAGCAGCCCTCCCGCTTCGGATCTCACATGCACATTCGGGTGCACTGGAGCGGCATCCTGAGTAGCGCACCACTGCATCACTAGCATCACTAGTGCACCCCGTGTTGAATGCCGCACCACCGTGATGCTCGGATCATCTTGGACAAGGTGATGAAGACGCGGCCTACTTTCGTTGATCGTCACCAGCGCCGTCACCGACTCGGCACGCGACTCCAAAGTCGAAGTCCAGCTTCGCCGCGAGTATTGATTATCAGGCTCAAGATGGCACCTTCCTGTGCTGACTCCTCGCGTCTGAAAGACCTGAGGATAAGAAGATACCCACCTTTCATCTGCTTTGCACTAAGTGCTTGAGCAGAAGAAAGCCGTGACTGTCAGCTTCCAGACGGCGTACTCTGGCTGTCCAGAAGTACTGCCCATTGCATGTCTTTCAGCGGCGAGTATCGACTTGACAGAGTCCTTCCCCAAGGTTCCAGTCGAGGTTGAAAGTCCAGAGCCATAGTGGTTGGCATGGTGCATGATGCATACGGCCTTAACAGCTCCCGGGTGAACTTGTCGCCGGGCCCGCTTCTGCATCAAGCTGCAGACAACTCGCAGCTCTGAGTCTGAGTTGCAGTAGCACTTTGGACACACTTGGGCAGGCTGCAGGTGCACATGCCCAAGATTCCAAAGCTCCAGACCTATCCCAGTTTTTCAGCCAGACAACACACCTACGACACCAAGCAGATGGCAGTGAAGCAGCATGGCTCCCTTAGGCTGCCTGAGAAATACATGACATGTCTTTAAAGTTTTGGGCTGGCCAGCACACAGCTTGCCCGGGTCCTCACATGTGCTACAGGTGACGAAGACGATGAAGTTTGGGATCTTCTGGCAGGCAGCGCCGTTGAGAGCCAGGCACCGCACCATGTGTTTTACGATATGGAAGGCAGAAGCCGAAGCCTTTCAGCGAAGCCTTTCAATCACAAGTTGTGCATCAAGTGTTGTCTGGACAAGAGGTTTAACGTTATATCCGGAAGAGTCAGAGAACGTGGTATCCCATCAACACACAGCGACTCTCCGAACGAAAAGGAAGAAGTCGTATGAGATCACGGAAGGCCTTCAGCTGCGTTTCAACACCTGGCTGTCGGATTGCTGCGAAATTACCGATCGCGTGG